CTCTAGCAAGAAAGGTGGTAAAATGGGGCAAAATTCACTTAACTACTGTCTCACTTATCCACAGAAATGTTGGGCTCAATTCTGGTCTTAAGTTGAATACGTATTACCTATATTCTAACAGGTCTTCCACAGTAATTCCCAACTTTTGCTACATTCGTCCGGTTTTGCATAATAGTCCTAAATCTGGAAAACTTTAGTAAAGTGCTTTTCTTCTGGGTGATGAGAGGGTTGCAGACACTTGCAAACTATAGCATGGATGTTCAGAATGGTTTCCTAAACTTTCCCCTACCTTCCCCCCCACCTTTCCTTTTTTCAGATGCGGCTTCCTGTGTGCTCTCTGATCTGTAGATGTTATAGATCCCTCGTGAATCCTCATCCTTTCACCGCATTCATTATTGGGGCAAAAACCACACCTTGGAGTTTTGTTCTGCAAACGATTATTTCCCTTTCTGTTGCTTTGGGGAGCATCTTAGCTCTGAGCCCGCCATAAGAACGATGCATTTAAAACTTGAAGTATGCATGTTTGTATGGATAGTACAAGGAGCAGGTTGGGTGCCACCAAGTCTGCGTGAGCTTCAGAAATGCTGCAGAAGATATGCTGTAGAGACCAGGAGTAGTCCAGCCTTGGGAACTTTAAACCTGTAGACTTCAAGTCCCAGAATTCTCCAGCCGGTCATGCCGGCTGGGAATTCTGGGAGTTGAAGTCCACAAGTCTTAAAGTTGCCAAAGTTGGACACCCCTGGTTTAGATCTTGAATTTGCCCAGTGCCTCTCTGTTCTCATTAAAGCAGCTCAATTCTTTTTTTCAGGATTTCACACCAACAGGAAAAATAAAGGAGTTGCTACTTTAAAGGTGGCACAAAGTATAAATCCTTTAAAGCAGGAGGATCTCTCTTTTTCTTAAGTTCCTGCTGAAATCTTAAAAGAGTTGGGCCCCACATACACAGTTGGGCTACTTTAATCAAGAGTAGAGAGGTGCTGTGCTCCTTTGGCAAAAATAACTGTAATTCCCAAACAGGCAAAAATAATTCCAAAATATTTTTAAGGCCTGCACACCTCTAATAGTAGGATGATCCTGTATATAACAATTGTGGCCACTAGATGGCTGTCAAGAGTTAGGATTGTGAGCATCCCTTTGCTACAACCTAATGGTCGAGGGTTTTTTTACAGTTCAGATACAGTACAGGTAGTCCTTGACTTATGACCATTCGTTTAGTGACCATTCTAAGTTACAACGGCACTGAAAAAACTGACTTACAACTGCTCCTCAGATTTACAACTGTTGCAGCTTCCCCATGGTCACATGATCAAAATTCAGGCACTTCACAATGGACATGTATTTATGACAATTGCAGCATCCTGGGGTGACCTTCCCAGTTGGCATTCAACAAGCAAAGACAATGGAGGAAGCTGGATTCACTTAACGACCGCATGATTCACTCAACAATTGCAGTGATTCACTTAACAACCGTGGCAAAAAGGGTTTGTAAAATTGGGCATGGCTCACTTAACAACCACCTCATTTAGCATTAGAAGCTCCAGTCCCAAGTGTGGACGCAAGTTGAGGATTACCTGTAAGCCTCTTGATATAAACAATTGGTCTAGTACGTGTAATCCTTGAGTTACGACCACAACTGAGCCCAAAATTTCTCTTGCCAAGCGAGACATTTGTTAAATGAGTTTTGCCCCATTTTATGACCTTTCTTGCCATAGTTGTTAAGTGAATCGCTGTAACTGCTAAGTTAGTAATAAAGCTGTTAAGTGAATCTGGCTTCCCCATTGACTTTGCTTGTCAGAAGGTCACAAAAGGTGAACACATGACCCTGGAACACTACAACCATCATAGATATGAGTCAGCTGCCAAGAGTCCGAATTTTGATCCCTTGGCCATTGGGATGCTGCGATGGTCGTAAGTGGGGGGAAAAGTCATAAGGCTTTTTTTTCAGTAACTTTGAACGGTCACTAAATGAACTGTTGTAAGTTGAGGACTACCTGCACATGCCTGCGTGCACTCTTGCCGCTTTTTAAGGGTGCCTTTTAAGGCTGGCATATGCACAAAGAGAAATTGCTGTCAAAGAGCTTTCTTCTTTGCAATTCTAGCAAAGCCTGGGGACAGTAGAGCTTCTTCGTGATCCAGCAGATGGCTGAAGGTCCGTCAGAACCTCCTTAGCAGGCAGATATCCAAAGGAGGGGGTCAAAGACCACACTGGGGGATGCAACCCTGCCTTTGAAGCTTGCTTCTTTTTAATGCACCATCGCAGCAGCCATCTTTTTGACCACTCCCTACAGATGCCTCTCTCTGGATGATGCATGCTTCACCCTTACTTGGAAGCCCTGAAGTTCTTGATGCCAAAGAAGGAAGTGATGCCAAAGAAGAAAGGAAAGGGGAAAAAAGCTGTGTCGTTCAATCTGTGCTTTTGTAGCTACGGTGGTTACACTAAGGCAGGGGTCTTCAAACTTGGCAACTTTAAGACTTATGGACTTCAACTCCCAGAATTCCTCAGCCAGCCCTTTTGGGAGTTGAAGTCCATAAGTCTTAAAGTTGCCAGGTTTGAAGACCCCTGCACTAAGGGGTGTTTTAGAAAAGACAGCAATGCTTTTTTGCATGGTGTTCCAATCAGGATATTGTCCAATCCCTGACGATCAAAATGTTGCCCGCTTTACTGGCAAACACTGCTGCCGTTCTTCTCGAGTGCACTTTCCCCCCTCAGTGTCAAAAGGAGTGCAGTTGGATCCTGCTTTTTGCTTCCCGATTCCGAACACTTTCACTTTCTTGGGAATTCCAGTCAGCTCATTTTGGGGAAACCAACCAACCTTTGATCCCTTGGCAACAGCAATTGGCTCTGTCTAATATGATTCCAGAGCATCTCTCTTGGCACATGCCAGCTTTTTGTACTGCATAGGTTTGGGGCTTAAGCTTTGCTAAATGCTAGCATTTTGCAACAGTTTCTAGCCTCATTTCTATCTGCAAAAATATTTCCCATACAGACAACACAAATGGTGCTTGGTCTAAGCTCAATCTTGGTTTGGAAAGATGCCCTCCCCCCTAGAGAGAAGCAGGCTTGGCTTGGAAAGATGCCCCCCCCCCTCAGAAAGAAGCAGACTTAGACACTGGATTAGGAGCAGGAAGAGCCATGTTCATTTTCAGCCCTTCAATGGGTGGCTTTGAGCCTCTCATTCTCTTTCAGCCTACCTCCCAAGGTTGTTGTTGTGAGAGGAAAGGAGAAGAGGGAGCACTATATATGTCATCTTGAACTTCTGAAGGGATGGAAATCCTGATAGATAAATAAAAGACTAAAGTGAACTGGGAATAATGGGAGGCTTTCGGAAAGGCTGGTAGGAAGCCATTTTGTGAAAGCACCCAGACATACAAATTGTGAGACTACAATGAGTTGAAGGAGGATCAAACTGTGCGATGAAATGATGGTCTTTAATCATTAGATAGTTATCATATGTTGTATAAAAGTCATTGAAAGCAGTACTGAATTGCTGGAATTGAATTCTGACTAATCACTTCAGGGTAACCCCAAAGTAATAGGAATTCTGCCTGGGAGGGGTGGTCCACAGGAATGGAGGGGGGTGTCAAAATGGTGGATATGATGGAAGCCCTGCCCCTTTAGAACACATCTGAGACTCAAAAAGAGTTGAGGATTCTCTTGTACCATTGGGGTAGTTTGACTTTTTTGCCCTCCCTGCCGAAGCCCTCATTAGTTTGTTTTTTTCTAATGAATTACTGTTGCCCGATGAAAATATTTCTAGCAACTAGTTTATTTGCTTTCAATTGCTTCTCTTTTAAAAAAAATCTTTTATTTGTGTTCACATTAAAAATACACCATTCACACTTCAGCCCACTGATGGTTAACACTGGTCATAATTAAAGCACAAAGAAACAGGTAATTTTTTTAAAAAAAAATGAAGAAACAGAAAGAGAAAGAGAATGCAACAATTTGCAGATTTGTGTCAAGTCAGTGAATTGTCAAAATGGCAATATGTTTAAGTAGAACAGCTGCTGCTGAAACACACATACAACAGAGGCACATCCTTTTAATGACAATGTAATATAACTTATAAATAAATAAACATTCATAATCAATATAGTAGTCTTTTACTTTGCATTTCTTTATTAGAGTTCTCTTTTAACTTTTCTGGTGGCTTACAGACACAATACAAGTTGTTGTTGTTTTTTTTAAAAAGGCAATTAAAAATGGTGTCCTGTTCAAATGGACTTTTGAGGCAACCACCTGGCTCTTTCTGATTGAAAAACCTCATTGTGAGAATGTCTGTGGGGGTCAAAAAAGTCAAGATGGCGGGTGCGATGGAAGGCCTGCCTCGTTTTTACATGCAGCCCCCAACCTCTTTCCCTCCATTGTTATGGCTCATGAATTAATTTTTGCAGAAACATTACTCAAAAAGGAAAACACAGAAGAGGAAGGTAAATAGATATCAGGCATAAAATCATGATCATATCTGCAATTCAGATTTAAAATTCAGTTGCCTGGTCCTCGCCAGAAAAGGAAATAAATATGCAGGCAGAAAAATATACATACATAAAAGGTTGCATATAAATAACAATATATAAACATTTGTGCTCAAAAGTTTTTCACGTTATGCCTTCCCTTCCTGCTTCCTTATCGATCTAACTTTCTTCAATAAATAAATCTCATATAATAAATAAGTTATTTAAATAGTTGGATAAATAGAAATAAAACCTTGGGGTTTTGTTTTGTTTTGTTTTTAAAAAAAAAACCCAGCAAGTTTAACAATGGGAAACTAAAAAGTTGAAGTGATTCAGACAGAACAGAAATTCTGTGGCTGTTTTGGGATTTGGGAATCCCAAAAGGCTTCAGTCAATTACATCCATCCCTTTCACTGCTCCTTTGCCCCGATCTGTCTTCCTCATATTTACTCTTCATATTAATGCAATAAATCACAGATGGCAGAGCTTAGGAAGGATCCTGCTGAACATCTGACTTTGTGCCCCAGCCCAGCCATTGTCTTGCTCTATCTGAAGGCAAAACTTAGGCTTCTCAAGCCCTGATTTTGATCCATTATGTTGAAGGGATCAGGCGACTCAATGTCAGGCACCTGTTGAACGTATTCGTTGTCCACAAGCATTCGGTCAAGGGGAATCTTGTTATCTAAAGGTAAAAACTGGGAGAAAGGGGGCAGCTGACGGCTGTGGGCCAAATTCTCCATCATGCTGAGGCTGACGGGAAGATTGTAGGCCTCTGAATAGTACACGTTATAACCATCTTGAAGAACTATCTCGTGGAAATTACAGGCCTCTTCCAAGTACAACAGCTGCAAAGAGAAGAGATCGCTTGGATTAAGCCTTCAAGAATACAGAAACTCTATTGGGCTTTACAGATAGTCCAGAATAAAGAAGCAAAGACAACAACTGAATTTGATTTCATTTACTTTCGAGGGGGCTCTACTTAAATTTAGCTTATTGTTATCTTGCTTCTACCATTGCTTCCTGTATATTACATTTTCTTGGGTCACATTAAAAAACACAATCAAGTAGCAATTGTTAGGGGCCCATCAAAGACCACATCAAGATTTTGGGTGGGTCGTATCTACAGGTTAGTTCAGCAACCATTTGACATTACAACGGACGCAATGACACCATTTTAATGTTCAAATTCTACCTCTCCCACAGTCACATAATTGCATTTTGGACACTCGGCAACTAGCCTGCATTTAGTTATGGTGTTCGGGAAAAACTAGCCCACAGCAAACAGGGTTTGCTTAGTGACTGCTGCAAAAAAAGGACATCAGATCAGGTCCAGTCACATGATAATATTGCTTTATGACTGTCATTACATATAATGGTAATTGCAGGCTCTATTACGTTTATAACTCTAGGACTACCTATGGCTAGGGGATTGTACAACAATTATCTGTGCAAATTGAGCATAGAATTAACTTGGTGTAGAATCATACGAAGTTGGTAAGCTTGATGGAAAACAATTATTCAGTGTTCTGCCATTCCCTCCGTTATATTATGTCCTGTAGCTTCAGTTACCCATGTACTTCCTACTGTTGCATTTCAAGCTAAGAAAGACAACAATCTCCTTAGGTAATCTGTTCTACAGTCAGACAGTTCTTATCACCAAGAAATTTCTTTTAGCATCTAGTAGTCAAACCTGGCTGGGCACCTACGGAATTAACTCAAGGTCATATAAGCCATAGATCAGTGTTTCTCAACCTTGACAATTTTAAGGCATGTGGATTTCAACTCCCAGAATTCCACAGCCAGCATTGCTGGCTGTGGAATTCTGGGAGTTGAAGTCCACATGCCTTAAAATTGTCAAGGTTGAGAAACACTGCCATAGATAATTCAGCCCTACATACATTGCTGGACTTAGGCATTCAAGCTACACCAAAATAGAAAATGATTCCAGCTAAAGAAATGCTATTTTCACTGCTGATGGGTTAATATCAATAGTGAATTTAGTGTCATATGGTCAACAAATCTGCAGTTTCTCTACTCAGGCTCGTAATTCAGCTTGAAATCTGCCGTGTTAACATCTTTGCCATTTGTTTATTTGCATTCTTTATATCATGAGCATCTGCCAAAAATTTCTATTTCTATGCACTGTGGTCAACTTGTTGCAGCATACATGTTCAAATTTCAGAAGTCAAAAAAGTCAGATTGCAATTTGTAATCCCCTTCGTTTTCACAGACACAATGATTCAAAACAAGAAATATTTATTCAAATTATTTTTCTCCCTTCACAAAGTATTTCTGTTTCACTGGCCCAGTAATTAAATGTTTAACTCAAAAACACACTCCCCTTGTAATGAGTGTTTTTACCTTGCTCTATTAGCATCCTAAACAGCCCATGACAGGTTGGGTAATTGTTTCAGAGATATATCCTTAGGAGATGCCTGAATATCTTCACCAATGACAGACCTAATATTTTCGAAAAGTTCTTTAAAATCCAGGGGGAATATTCAGAGCTGCATCTGCCTTGAAAGTAGCCCAATCAAACGTCGACAAGAGGAAAGATTTTTATGACATTTTGCATTACGTCCTAAAATGCTTTATGATCATTTTTAGGTCTTAAAATGCTTGGATTTTTTTTAATTTCCAAATTTCAGTTTCACAAGAGTCACCAGTCTCAGATTATGGATGCATTCTAGAAGTTAGCCCATTTGAGATACCTCGATTGAAAAAGCTTTACTGTATGATGTATCATTTCACCCAGTTAAAGGTTACAGAAGGAGAGATAGTCCTTGGCTTATAACCATTCATTTAGTGACCATTCAAAATTACAACACTCAAACAAGTGTCAACTATTCCTCGCGCTTATGACGATCACCGCATTCCCATGATCATGTAAATTTGGGGGCTTGACAGCCAGCATACATTTATGATGGTTACAGCATCCTGGAGTCATGGCGTCACCATTTGTGACCTTCCCAGCTGGCTTCTGTCAAGCAAAATCAATGGGGGAAGCCATATTTGCTTAACAACCACATGGGTTCACTTAATACAGTGATTCACTTAACAACCATGGAAAAAAGGTAATAAAATTCAATGTGACTCACTTAACAATCACCTTTCTTAGCAACCAAAATTCTGGTCTCTGTTGTGGTTGTAATTCTAGAAACAACCTGTAATATACACTCTTTTCCTGGTTATTATATAAGACAGATTATATGCCTCAGTTTTTATTTCTATTTAATTTCTTTTTTCTATTGTGTTTCAACTGTTTTAATTGCTTTTATGAATCACCATTCAGAGTCAATGGTTTCATATAGGCAGCTATACAAACTGAACAAATGAATAAATATAGGGGATTGCAAAAAAATAAATGCTGCTATGACTTTAAAAAGAAGACAGATAGCTTCTTAAGGGATGTCACCACATTTTAGTTTGCTCCTAAAAATGTAGGCATTTTATTATGATTTCAGAATATATCTACTAATCTATTAAGTCCCCTCAGCATCAAGAAGATTAAAATGGTCCAGTCTGCAAGAACAGTTTGCTTCTGATTTTATTAAAGTACTATTACACATTATTTTTGGTATATATGATTTTTGGGGTGCAGATTTAACTCATGAATGAAAACAACTCAGCTATCTCTAGAAAAACACTTACCTGTATCAGGGAAGACATAACCAGTACTTGAGTGTTCTCAATGGCAGACTCAAAATTGTTGCCAAATAATGTGTGAGATGATCCCCCCCAAAATGCATATTTTGGAAAGGGGTGAACTCATGATCAGACAGGTAGATCTTTCAATTTATAGCTTTATCTTTCCCCGCTGATCCTTTGCTTTAAACCACTGTTTCTTCTTTAGCCATTTCCAGATGTGTGGACCAACTCAGAGAATTCTCCAGCCAGTGTTGCTGCTTGGAGAATTCTGGGAGTTGAAGTCCACCTATCCAAAAGCTGCTGAGATTGAGAAGTACTGCTCTAAACACAGAGACATAATCTGTATAATTATACTTACTGAGCCATATAGATGTCCTTCAGAATCCATGCAAAGAAATCTAGAGGTTTTCTTGGCCATGATACGAACAATTCCCAATTTCACTGCTTTGATTTCCATCAAACCTAGGGGGGGGGGAATAGAAAATAGCTCGTGAAAAAGGAGAACTCTTTAGAATGGTTCTAACTGAAATAGCCTTCAACCTCTTCAGATCTTTTAGTAGTCTTGATCTGTAACATCTGTAAAATGTAACATAATCTGTGGGAGGCCACCATAGCACCTTCTACAGTTCCCATTTCTCCTACTTGATTTACTCTGAAAGTTTAATATCATCTGCAACGAAGGACCAAGTTAACATTTGTTTTCCAGAGTTTTCCAGATAACACATGTGTTAAGAAGCTATGTGTTCTGAAATGCCCTCTTCTGAAAAACCGTATTTCACAATCTACTACCTGATCCTTCCCCAAAAAACCCAAGTGACTGTGCCTCAATTCCACATATAACTCCAGAAAAACTCATCGGGAGGAATCCCGAGTAATTTGTTTCCCAAATACTCACTGAAGGGGCTCTGGTATTTGGAGCCACGCACTGTGCCATCTGAGAAGATCTCCAGGTGGAGGTGGATCCGTCCATTGGCTGTATAGAGATGGCGAAGCCGGACTTGCCCATCAAACTGGTACAGAGGATTGGAATTTGGCACTGGAGAGGCCACAATCCTGGGGACCAACGCAGCGCAGAAAAGCAGGTTAAGGGGAAGCAGGAAATAACGGTTGCGTTGGAGAAGAACTGAAATGGACAGCATGGCTCAAGGATGGCCGATCCAGGCAAGACGTAGTTCTGGGATGGCAAAGATAGTCTTGCCGTCAGAAGAAATTCAAGGAGCAACTCAAGGTTTGAGGTCCCAGCCTAGTTTTGCCAGTCACTGGATTCTACTGTTTTTTTTGGGGGGGAGACTATAGAGAATTCTGCATTCCTGTCCTTCCAACTTGAACTTATTGATCTCACCCAGGAATTATGTCCAGAATTCACAAAGAAATGCAGTTCAGGACTTCTGAAAGTTGTTATTCTGGGGATGGGATCTGGGGAGTCTAGTAAACTTCCAGTCACCCAATCAATGGGAATAGTCAGAATAAGGAGAATGTCTTCCTTCTTGCTCTATCTTATGCCAAGTTTGCTCCAAATCAGCAAACTCACCAATATATATACACACACGCCTGTGTTCTCTACAACGGAGGTAAACGACCTTCCCCTTGACTTTTGCCTTGCCTACAACTCTCCACCCACTTCCATTTCCCCACACACTCGCCAGGTCCCCCAAGGGTGAGTCACGGGGTGCCGCTTGCTCCTACTGCTCCTAACATGGGGTCACGAGGATGCCAAAGTCTAAATATTATCATTCTGCAGCTGCTTTCAAGCTACCGACAGGAAAGATGATGTAACTTAGGGAATACAAGACTGAGAAAATGATGGCCAGAAGGAGGGGGAGAGAAGAAAGGGGAGGGAGATAATGGAAAGGCTAGGATTGCCTCAGCATCCTGGAACCGCTCTCTGATTTATCCAACCTGTCCTGTGTATCTATTAATCTTTTTAAATATGTGCGTCTCTTGACCATTTATGCGCTGGACTCAAGCAATTGTCCACTGTAGGCTCAATAATACAGTCATGCTCTTTATCTGTGTAACTCTCACAGCCCTTATCCTGCAGAGACAGCTCATGTGCTCCAGATGCCAAAGACCCCTGGTTCAGTTCCTGAACAGCCAGAGATTGAGCAGAGCACAAATCCTGCTGCAAACTCTGGGAAGCAATAGCACTTAGCACTTATATACCGCTTCATAGGGCTTTACAGCCCTTTCTAAGCAGTTTACAGAGTCAGAATATTGCCCCCAACAATCCTGATCCTCATTTTATTGACCCTGAAAGGATGAGTCAACCTTGAGCTGATCAGGATTGAATTTCTGGCAATGGGCAGAGTCAGCCTGCAATATGGCATTCTAACCACTGTGCCACCACAGCTCCACCTGGAGAAGCCATTATCAATTATTATAGACAGTTGTAGGTAGATCAGAATCTACTGGTGCATCTCAAGTTGTTGATCATTTAGGGGCTCTGATCCTTAGATTGTGTCCCCACTTGAAGCTAAGCTTGCTATAAAGAGTTCCTGAGAAATGAAAGAAAGAAAAAACAATGAAGTGGCTTCGGATATTTATCACAGCAATTATAAGTACAAATATAATTTAACCTCTCGCTCTGAAATGACATCATCTTACTCATCTTTCTATAATATATCCTATCTAGTCATCTGAATCATAAATAACATTTTTTTTTCATTTTTACCGAAAAAGTCCATAACAGACTTCCAATCACCAATAAATATAGATCGTGTTTTTTCTCTAATCAAAGAAGTCATTTTATCCATTTCAGCAAAATCTATCAACTGAATAATTTTGTAGTTGTTGCAATACAAAATATATCCTAACATGTATTCCAACAAGTAGTCATGCTCTCGTCCCTTCCCTGAAATTCTGCAATCTGGTGGGCCACAGAAGTGGGCCTTTTCTCTGCTGCCTCTACCTTATGGAACACCCTCTGCCTGATGATTTTGCAGGCTCCCAGTCTTTTAGCTTTTAGGCCTGGCTTGAGGAGGAGATGAAGGCAACAATCCTCAAAATTGCAGGCTCCTCAGAAACAATAATAGAAAATTAGTTATTTTCCTCCTAACTGGCAGAATAATTCTATCTGCAAGCTATACTGAATTTTTAAAGATCTATAGATGGTTAGCATCAGAGATGTCTCTGTCAGATAAAGAATGTTTATTTTTATATGCGAAACCCGTGGCCTACTTACGCCTTTGTATTTTCTTCAAATTAAAAAAACAGCCAATGTTTTCTTAAGAAATAATGTATAGCTATGCCAATGAGCCTACGCAAGCTGTAAATGTAATGGAAACAGAATAACAAAGGCGTGGAATAGTTTCATGGCTGTGATTGATATTTCCTAGAAATTAGCAGAGGGTTAGTCCTGTATACAACGAGTGTTATTAAATCTGTAAAAGCAAAAATGTGCATGTGTGTGTGCGTGTGCGTGTGATGCACAAAATAGAAAAGGAAAAATGCAGTTCTTCCTAAAGTTTATTTATAATTCTCAGTTGTACATGCATAATAAAAAAGGGAAAGATCAAGGAAATTAATCAGGATTGGCCCCCTGGGAGATCCCTGTTCTGCTACTGTCCTTATTTACAGTGTAATGTTAAGGTCTAGGATTGGTTCTATTTTTTTCCCCTCCTATTGGCAGCCAGTGGGAAAACATCAACCAATCACTGACGAGAGGCAGAGCCTGAGAAAGAAGCAGGTTTTACAAATGGCTAGAGGAGTAGGCCTAGCCACCTATTAAAACTTGCTCTACGTAGCTTGGAATAGTGGTTAAGGGCGGCAGGCTAGAAACCAGGAGTTGGGTGAGTTGGGTGATCAGCTGGGGAACCGTAGGCCAATTATTCTCTCTCAACCCTAGGAAGTAGGCAAGGGCAAACCATGTCCAAAATCTTGCCAAGAAAACCAGAGAAACTTATTCAGAGAGCCACCAGAGGTCAACGTGGATGTGAAAGAGCACCCATGTGCGTGCGCTCGCACACACACACACATACATACTAGTATGGCATGAATATTTCATACACCTATTTCAAAGAGACCCCCAACTATTCCAAAACTGAGCCCAAAATTTCTGTTGCTAATTGAAACAGTTGTGAAGTGAGTGTTGCCTCATTTTGCGAGCTTTCTTGCCACACTTGCAATGGCTAAGTTAATAACACATTGGTAAAGTGAATCAGGCTTCCCCTTTGACTTTGCTTGTCAAAGGCTTCGCAAAAGGTGATCACCTGACACCCCCCCCCAGGACACTGCAATCGTCGTAAATACATGCCAATTGCCAAGCATCTGAATTTTGATCATACGACCATAGGGAGGCTGCAATGGTTGTAAGTATGAAAAACAGTGATAATTCACTGTGGGAAGTCAGCCCCCCCCCCCAGAGAAGGAAATATTAAAAGGGCAGAATATTATATTTCCTCAAAGGATCTTAAAGAGGCAGAAAAGCATGCCCAGTTTTTCTTAATAGCCCCAAGTCTCCCTCCCCCAAGCAGAAACCAGCTCTGTAGAAATGCAGATGTGATAATCCATTCAGGAAGGTTGAAGCTAGAAGATTAAGAAGACAAAGACACCTAAAATCTGCATACCCCACCCAAACTCTAAGACAGGACATAATAGGATTAACCCACAGATGCCAAAGGGCACACTCAGACTCAGGTCAAAACACATGACACAGGAAATACAAAGCCTCAAACAGGAACAGGAAACAACCTCAAGAGCCCCAGAGGGTATAAAAACCCACTCCCTACATGTGCTTGAAGGGATTTTATTGTGCTTATGATTTTAGTATGTTTAAGTTTGACATTAGCATTTATTTTATATACTGTATAGTAACCATTTTATATTGATACTTACAGTGTTATCATGTAATCATTGTTTTGTTATTTTGTAATCATTATTTTGTAGTTAATTGCTTGATCAGATGCTTTATATATATATATTGGAAAAGTAAGGGCTTCATGCTTTAGGTATAGGTGATTGCTTATATGAAAAGAGCACAGTAAGGGGATGGGGAAAAGGAGCTATGGATGGAGCCTGGGTTGCTGTGTGAGTCATCATCTAAGAATTATTATTTTGTGCCATCTTATGCCTAGTACCAAGACCTGATCTTTTTGTTCTGGAAAGGTATAAAAGGTGGAAGACATCTTTTCTGGTTGTTGCCTTCATCTCTCTACCAGCCACGAAGAGAGATGGGGTCACCCAACTCTATTTTGATCAAAATAAAAGTTGTTTGCTTGCTGAAACCTCGACTCAGGAGTTTCTTTGATTCTTTTAAATTCCTGAGTAATGCTGGGGCAGTTGTGAGGCTAAGTGGAAAACCTTACATGCTCTCTCTCTTTTCTTCTAGAGCCATCTTTCTATCTGACTCTCCTCTTCAATAAACTGCAATCTTCTTTCTAAAGCAGTCACCATGTTGTTTATTCCCAGCTTGGACTGAACCATGATGAAGACTTTTCCTTCAACATCACTTTTTTCAGTGTCGTTGTAACTTCAAACGATCACTAAATAAATGGTTTTAAGATGAGAAATGCCTCTGCTTCTAAACAGTGCCCCAAAACTCTCCCCTTTAAATAGACCCACTTCAAACCACTTGAGTCAAATCAGAGCTGAACATAGGGCTGTTTCTGGGCTACCGGAGGGCCATTCCCACCATTTGGGATGATGCATTTGGATTGTTATATTCCCATTATTAAGTCACAGTAAGTAAGAAGCTGATGGGAGTGGTTTCTTCCATACTGAAGAATTTCTTCCCCGCAATGCTCAGAAAGTTGGAATTATACAAAATTGGCATTGATACAATATTATCCAGGAATGATGCTCCCAGCAGCAGAGATAGCCTTTTATTATGTTTCCAAGAAATAATTCTCATTTAGCATACGTTCTGCAGCCTTTAATTAATCTTTCTATAAGAATGATGGGGAAGTTGGGAAATAATTATACTTTGGGAGGTGGGGCAGGACAGATAGAGAGAAATTTCCTTTGGGGTTTTCTTTCCTTGAGAAAAATAATAATGAAGGGAAGCCAATCATTAGTTGTCGGTACAAAAATCTGCTGGCAACAAGTTGCTTAGATTCCCCCCTAAAGACAACTAATGTTAGCATCATCCTTTTTGCCTCCCCTGCATTAGATCTTCATTGACCCTACTGCTCCCATCCGTGCA